GGCTGCCATCAACAAATCAACAAACGACATGTGCTGGCGAGGGTGTGGAGAAAGGGGAACCCTAGTACACTGCTGGCGGGAATGCAGACTTGTGCAACCACTATGGGAAACAGTATGGAGGTTCCTCAAAAAACTAAAAATGGAGCTGCCTTTTGACCCAGTGATTCCACTCCTAGGAATGTATCCTAAGAATCCTGAAACATTCATCAGAAAGGATATATGTACCCCGATGTTCATAGCAGCACAGTGAATAATAGCTAAGATCTGGAAACAGCCCAAGTGCCCATCAGTAGATGAGTGGATAAAAAACCTGTGGGACATTTACACCATGGAATACTATGCAGCTGTAAAGAAGAGGAACATATTTTAGAAAGAAATCATCAAGACTTATTTAACTCTTAATTAATTTAAAAATTAATCTTTGAAGTGATTTAATAATAAGGCAAATAAAAGAAAAATTGAAAATAAGAATCAAGAGAAGGATGTCAAAATGCTAACTGTACTGCTGACAGAACTGAAGAATGGAGCCTCAGGGCTGACTCTGGCTCTCCTGACAGCCAGAGCAACACCATAAGTTACAGAGTTCTCCAGACTGTGACAAAGAAGCACACCAGCAGCTTCTTCAGTGAACCAGGTTTATCTTGGCTCCAAATTTTAAAGAAGTTCCTCATACAGGCTTTTGATAAGGAGGCAGAGATACTATGACCATTACAAACTGTATTTTAACAACATATATCAAACAGACTATGATGTTTCTGATAGCAACTTCATTAAATCTGTAAGTATAATTTTCAGAACCTATAATAAAGATAATATTTAAAAATGTCACATGAATAAAAGGACAACATAGCTAAAATTGTGTTTAACAATTATCTTCAAAATGTATGTTGACATCTAATGCTAAATAAGCATAAAATTGTAACATATGTCAAGGTTTAAAGTTCTATTTTAAATGCCTTCTGAAAACACATCATCAATGAAAGAAAATGTCAACGCTGTCTTCAGTTTACTGAGTTGGTATATCCTAGCCTAAAGGAAAGGGATGTGCCCCAGCTTGAAATGGAAAAACGTCTCACCAGTTAGTGCAGCTGAAGTGTTAGATCCAGCAGAGAGCTGTTTAAGCTGATACTGGGATGTAAAAAACTCAATTAGATGAAAAGTGTTTCTATCTTCAGCGTCACCAAGTCCTAGCTGGCCTTCATTATTTCCTCCAACTGCATATACTTTGCCCCCTTCTGCACATAGAAAAGAAAACATCAGTATACTACAGCCATCATCTTTCTGAAACAGGCTAGTGTATACCAGAGAGTTTCTCGATTAATAGTGAAGAAAACTGAGAGCTGATATTATCTTGTAATTTGGTGCACAACTACATTTCATTGTCAAAAATGAAGCAAAACAAGTAAGGCTATACATTTTTGTGAGATTTTACAAATCATTCCAGAGTCCCAGTAGCAACTGAAATGCATAGAATGTGTGGAATGTATTTTCTTACTAATGCAGGACTTTATTAACTCAGAGCAGAAAAGAGGAATTTCCAAATTAGTTTACAACCTAAATCAAACTATTTAAAAAATATATGGTTCATTAATTTTAACTTCCATACCCATTAAAGCTAAGATTTAATAGGTAACAAATAAGTAAAATGTGGCAAATCCAAGAAGAATATAATTAGAAACCTAAAAAGTCTATGTTGTATATTTCTTTTAATTTTATAGCTAACTAGAAAGGCAGTATATAGCATTGTGTTTAGGAGAAAGGACCCAAGAGCCATATTTCCTGGGTGCAAATTCTGAGTTGCTTATCAGCTGTGAGCCCTTGGGCAAGCTGTACTTAACCTATCCGTGTCTCCTTTTCCTCATCTGTAAAACAGGGATAGTAACAGCGCCTACTTCATAGAGCTGTTATAAAGTTTAAATTAATTAACATTTATAAAATTCTTAGAACAGCATTTGGCTCATCAGAAGCACTATAAACATTTTTTAGTTACTTTATTAATTAAATAAGAAGTATATCATGCCTACATAATAAACATTGCCAATAAGCTCTGAAGTAATAAAGATTTTTTGAAACATATACATATTAAAAATTAGTGATATCCATCATAAAAATGCACATGAAGTTAAAGCCTCACTAAATAATAGGGGAAACTGAGGGCAAAATCAGCCCGAATCAGTAAAAATTGAGACTTTTTAAAATGAAATGTAATTGAGGAGACAAGACTGGCCCTCAAATGGAAGATACTACAAGGCCACATGGAATTAGACCACACAATTTACATGTATGGAGTGAACCAGAGTTGGTGAAATGCTTAGCATAGTTCAGAGAACCACATGAGTAAAAAGTTGAATAGTCACCAAAAGCTCCACGGAAGAAGTAAAACTAATACTGCATCTTAAAAGAATCTGAGAAAGAAAAGACATTTCAGCAAGGGAAAAGTATGAATAGGGCAGAGAGGTGAGCAGCCAAGGTAGTGAGAATAGCCTAAAGACAGAAGCTGTGTGGAAGGGAAAGGAGGTAGGAAGGACTGAATGGCCAAGGCCTGTATGTCTAAGTGTTCCAGCAGCATTTGTTGAGAAGACTACCTTTTCTTCATTGAATTGCCTTGGCACCTCTGGCAAACATTAGTTGGGCATATTCATGTGGATCTATTTCTGGATTATGTTCCATTAATTTTTGTCTATCTTTTGGCTAATAGCACACTCTCTTGATTACTGTAGCTTTGCAGTAGGTCCTGAAATCAGGTAGTGCTAGTCCTCCAATTTTGTTCTTTTCAAAATTGTTTTGACAATTCTAGACACACACACACACACACACACACACACACACACACACACAGAGTCTGTTTGGATTTTGATAGAAATTGTTCTGACTCACATCAATAGGGGTTGATGTGAGGGTGCGGATGGCTCCCACTCACCTGAGAAAATAATAAGAGCAAGAACAGGAACAAGCAGCCCCTGAGATGTGCACACGGATAAGGAGGTGCTGCCCCTTGACATAATCCAAGGAAACAATCTTTTTCTTCAGCCATTTACCCCTTATTTGCATATTTTCAAAGGCAAACAAGTGTACTAACCACTTACATTTTAAAAAATCCTAATCTTACTGTTTGTTGCCAAGGTATCAATTCTATTAATTTTACAAACTCACAAATGTACTGGAACAAGACCTCATTCCTCAAATTGGGCAGGAAGTCATACAGATTGAATACCATACCTGTTGAAACTAGGGTGTGGTTCCGTCCACAGGCAACAAGTTTCACCTTTTCAGGTTTTAAAGCTAAAAATATGACAATTAAAATATGAAATGATTATGAAAATGATAAATAATATAGGTCAAATGGTAAATAAAGTAGTAGAACAGACATTTAAACCCAGGCCTATCTGATGGCAAGGTCAATGTTCTTAATTACTAAACTAAAAGTTTTCAGAACTAGCTGTGCATCAAAATGACCAGGGGATCTCTGAGAAAAATACACAGAGCTCAGCACTACCCCTGAATACTCTGAGTTAGTAAGTCTGAGCTAAGGTGTAGGCATCTATATATTTTTAAAAACTCCACAGGTAAGTAATATGTGCTGAGATCCACTGCATTCTGTTATGCTGCCTTGATACCAACCTGATCCTTTACCTAATCTGCCATCACCATCAATTTCACCTTCTACCTCACTCAATGAAACACTGTAAGTCCACTATTCATAGGTATATACCTTTGTTAAAGTTCTTCATTCATTCACACATTCAAAAAAACCTTTATAGAACATATCTTAAATGCAAAATGGCTGCAAAGATCACTAAGATAGAGTCCCTAATATCAAGGATCTAAAAATCTAGATCAGGGGTGGGGACCATCTGGCCGTAGCGCAGTATACAGCCAGGAAAATCATTAGGTCTGGCCATGCCAAGCCAACTGAAGGAGGAACTCTAAATTTAATAAATCTAGGAGCTTTTTTTCATAGCTAATTTTTAAATTGATAATTTTGTATGGCCCACAAATTATGTTATAAATATCCAAATGGCCCTTGGCAGAAAAAAGGTTCCCCACTCCTGGTCTAGACACTACTGTTAGCTTGTCTATTAGATAGTAAGAGCCATAGGCACCGTGAATATACCCAAAGGTTTAGCAGATTGTGCCCAGTAAATACTTTTTGACCAAGTGGAATACTTTAAAAGTTCTATAACACCATCTATAAATTGCACTGAAATTTTGAGCTAAAATTAAAAATTTGGCTGAGAAGATAAAGAATGCTCCTCCTGTCACATCTCAAGGAATCTCCATCACCATTCAAGTTTAGTTGATGTTCCCAGGTTATACCTCAACAGAAGTTTTGCACATACAGTGAAAAACTTTGTAAAGGTACTATAAGCCCCCTATTTTCTGCAACAGTCCTGATTGAAAATATTTTGTCCTGTTCTTGTAAGAACATTAGTACTAATCAACCCCTAGTCTTGATGTTTTGTTTAGTACATCTATTCACTAAATACAGCAGAGTAAAGTGTGTTTTATAAAACCAGAAACTACATGATGTCCTCAAATCTAATAAATGAGACAGAGCCCAAAATTCTAACATTACATTTTTGCTCTTTGTATATAAAATAGTAATATTTAAGTACATTTAAAAATAAGTGGGGAAAGGATGTTCAAATGCAATATAGTAGAATCATTACTTTCTTTGTGACATCTGGGTTTAAAATCACTGTCATTTTTAGACCCTAACATATAAAAATGAAGTTAAATGTCAATAATGCTCAAGTAGCTATCAGAAAATAAAGAACTAAAGGCTTTATTATTTATAATATATTAAAGGACTACACAATCAATATAAAAGTACTTTGGTTTGTTAAGTATTTAAAGTGATAAAGAAGAAAAGACCCCAAACCTTTGACACATGTTGGTTTGCAAACAGCTGACTTTGATCCTAATCCTAACTGGCCCCAGTTGTTACTGCCAAACATGTAAAGTTTATTATTTCCTAGTGGAAAGGAAAGAAGAAATAATAAATTGAAGCATTTTCAACATCAAGTAGTGTGAGATGAAGTCATAGCAAATAAATAAAAATGCTACACTTAAAAGGTTGTCATTGTTTTCCATGTTGAAACAGGTTACCTTGTCCATATACGTATAGCCAGATTCTGTTGGGTGTAAAAGAGTTTCTAAGATTACATGCTAACAGTTTTTTATTTTATATAAATAGATTTACTATTTCTTATTCTAAGAAAGTCGTGTGTATTGAAAATCATATTTCAATATACTAAGGGAACTTAAAATTTAAAAGACAATTGATGAATCAACTTGTCAAGAATTATCTGGCAAAATAAAAAAACAACACTTTCTATACAATTTCAAAATATTTAAAACAGCGCATCTATATATAATATTTAGGATTTTAATACTAACCAGTAATAACAGCAGTATGTTCATCTCCACATGCAAGATATGTAGGTATATCATTTTTAAACCAGAATTTGCTGGGAATATTTTCAGCAAACTTAGTTTTTCCAAATGTAAATACAGCACCCGAATCTGCAAATATATGATAGTTTCTATTTTACAACTTTTTCTATGTTGCCTGTTACTAAAATATTTTTTCAATAATTTATTCAAATTCCTTGTCTCATGATAACTTTGCCTCTGCTATAGCACTGTTTACACCCTCCTTCCTCCACCTTAATTCGGTATTACTCCTCAGGCTTCATTCTAATTTTACTTATGAAATCTACTAAATTAAATACGTATTATTCATTTACTGGTATAAAGTAAGACATATACTATCACAAGGAGGGCAGTCCTCAATAACGTATAGGCCTGGTGTCACCAGGTGGACCCACTCACTCTGGTTAACACCTCATGGTTTAGCCCTTGACTGAGGGCTTTTCTCCACACAGAAACAGGACAATATTGAGTTCACCATTAGCATCACCAGGATGCAGGATGTTTGATCCAGTACCATTTTGAAGAACAAAAACCTCTACTGGTTACCAATAATCATTTAAATACACATGGACACCCCAAATAAGAGACCAGATCCAGCTTTTGAGTAAATCTCAAGGAAGATGATCACACATAAAGAAACTAATGGGTACCAGAAAGGAAAACGTAGTAAACATAAGTATTAATAAATATTAATGCACAAGAGACTACACAATTGGAAAACTTGAGAACGATTATGAGGCGTGTCATTTCTAACTGACAATTGAGATGTGGTAGGCCAGTTTCTAGAATAGGCTCTGAGTTTCCCTAGAATGAATAATTTTAGCAGTTTTTTCCTGCTTTGGCTTCCCAGGAAAACTTCCACCATACCCTCGCCCCAAGTCAGAGTTTGGTGGTTCTGCTCTGGCGCCCTGGCCATCTACTGCCAAACAGTATAGCTATTGTCATTTTGTTTACTTTCTTGTATCCCTCACTAAGCTGTGAACCCCGAGAGGACAGGAATCAAATTATATTAGTCAAGAGCATGGCAGAAAACACAATACTTATTTCAGTGAATGCATGATTCTGCTCCAATCCAGTGTGTTTTCCTTCAAACTGTTGGTCATGAATAATTAGTGGTCAGAAAAATCAGTTTATTGGGTCACGATGAGCATTTTAAAAGTATTATAGAAAAGATCTGAGTGCATCACAAGTGGTTCAAGTACTGCTCTTCATGAAATGCCTATTTCTGTTATCCAGTATGTATGAGGTAACCTATGTGTGTCGTCACAATGTCAAATGTGCTTTAAGGCTCAGCGGGAAAAGTCTTAAAAAACACACCACTCGCTAAGGGCTCCCCCTTCACCCCTTTCTAAGTGATTTTCCCATTCTCTTTTACCTCGCGCCCCCTCACCACCTACTCTCCGAGGTATTCAATACATAAACTAGATCCTGGGGACCTAGAAGGAGGTACTCTGGGAAGTTTACAGTGAGGTAAAAACTGCCCTTAACTTCGAGAAACTCACAGAAAGCGTATTTAAACAGAACAAAAAGGACAGACACCCCTAATCCGTGGTTTCCCCTCAGTCCCTCCCTTCCTTTCCTCGCTCCTCTGCCGCTCTAGGGGGCGCGGCTGCAGCTCCGGCCCCAGCCAGGCGGCC